TAATCACATGTAACTTGGCTAAGGCTATGGTTAACAACTTAATAAAGTTTATGACGTGACTGTCAAAGGAAAAAAAATAAAATAAAATAAAAATAAAAATTTTAAGTAATAAGATAATATAATTTATAATAATCTTACTAATAAAATTTAAAATTCTAAAAAAAACTTATTTTAGAATACAATTATTATAAAACACACATATAGTGGTTTACTATCTATTTTGATTTAATATCATGTAACTATATAATTTAATATTTCTTAGTTCGAAAATATATCTGCATATTTATTTATATATAGTGGTTTACTACTTATTTTGATTTGATATCATGTAACTATATAATTTAATATTTCTTAGTTCGAAAGTATACCTGTATATTTATTTGTTTAGCGATTACTTATATAAGTTTCTTACATACGATTATTTACACAAATATTTTTATATATTAGTACTAATCTTTATGTCAAACGAAAATATATTCAATGATTTAGAGTTTAATAATTTAGAACTATACTTTAATAGTAATGATAGCTTAGAATTTTGCTTTGACAATAATGATAATAGAGATTTTTTTGATGAAATTTTAGATAATAATGGTCAATTAATTATTAATAATGAGGAAGACGATAGTTTGTCTGATTGTGAAGTTAATGATTTAACTGATGAAAAAGAAGGTTTATACCCTTTAAATAAGAGACAATCTTTTATGAATTAGAAAGAAGTTGAGAGGTAAAAATGATTATTTGTGTCATTTTTTTTTTGTTTTTTGTTTTTATAAAGTTCTAGTACTAATTAGTATTAGTTGGCTTTCTAAACATAGTTGTGAACGAGAATTTGCATTTTCTTTAATAAAAAGTGAGTTGAACAAAAATAATAAAATACTAAGACATCGTATTTATTATTATTCAAAGGGATGTCATTATAAAATACAAAAAAAAGCATATGTTTTAGAAGAAAGAAACAAGTCATATGAAAATAATAAGTATATATTTTATGTTAATCTTCAAAGATGAAGGAATGATAACTAGATACGTATCTCAAGAATAATCAGTATACATATATATCTAATGACTAAAAATGTGCAAATGTCAGCACCTCAATATCATTATCTAACACTAGAAATGCGAGATGATATAGAGCTTCTTGCTACAAGTAATATATATACTGGAGCGATTATTAATATTTTAACTTGCAAGTATTTAGACAAATATATCTATGCACGTAATATATACAATATCGTTCAAACAATAAAAGCTGAAAAAGGAAAGTTAAGTAATGCAGAAGCAGTATATAAAGAACTAATACAAAAAAACAAGAAGAATCTGGCTAGTATATTGATACTAAGTTTGAAGGAAATGATAATTATCTTTTTGGACTTATTTGGTTATATTCTAAACAAATTGATATTTGGAGCTGATTTTATGATGTAGTTTTACTTGATACTACTTGTAAAACAAATAAATTTAATATGATAATATATGTTGTAGTTTGTATTGATAATCATAATTGGTCTTGTCTAGTTGCAACAGCTTTAGTTTTAGATGAACAAAAAATAACATTCGAATGGATATTACAAGGATTGCTTAATGCATCAGAAGGGTTAGCACCTAAAGTTGTCTATATAGATGCAGATCCAACTATAATAGCTACAATTGAAAATGTATAGAATCATACAACACATTACTTTTGTTTGTTTCATATCCGGAAAAATCTTGAAAAACATTTTCTTTTCAAATTTGACAAGGAAAAATTTAAAGCTTTTTTTTCAAGCTTTTGTCAAATATGAAATAGTACTACAGAAATTATTTTTGAGCAAAAGTGACAAAGAGTTCTGAATTGCTATCCCAAAGTACAATCTTATCTAAATTATCAACTTTATCTTTATTGGGAAGCCTGAGTTCTTGCTTTTACGTATCATTTTTTTAACTGTAGTATACAATCAATACAAAGAGTTGAAGTTTACAATACTATTCTTAAAAAATCTCTTAATAGAACAAGGTCATTAATAGAAGTAGTGAGCATAATTGAAAGACATCTAGCAAAAGAATCACAATATGTATGATTAAATGAATCTAGTGATAAACTTCTATATGCTATACTTACATCATATTGAGATTTTTATTTCATAGCAATCAATAGAGTTTGTACCAAATTTCTCACACCAGCAGTGCTAAAATTGCAATATTATCAAATGAATCAATATGTTCATTATCATGCTCATCAAACAAATTTAAAAGTTGAGTTACAGCAAAAAGAAAATATTTGTGAAACAGTAAATAGTTTTTTTTTTTTTTTTTTTATATATATATATATATATATATATACTTTTGTAACTTATTTGGTTTTGTTACTATTAACTGTTCATTGTTAGAATATACTGAATAGCATGTTTAGTAAAGACCTATATGATGAAATGCTTATTGAACTAGCCAAACTTCTTCATAATACAAGCCATTCTAATGTTAAAGAATTATGGATAGTTTCACGTATAGACTAGCAGAAGTTTCATTATATTATTCTTCTTAATAATGCAGTTCACTTATGTACTTGTTTGACACTTGTTAACCATAGTATAATTTGTTATCATTTTTTTGCTATTCTATTAGAAAGTAATATAGCATAGTTTCATATTAGAATTATAGCTAAACAATAGTTTAATGATTGAGTAATAGAACAAAATGAAAGGTTTGATAGTAAATATGCAATATCAATTCAAAATTGGCAAAGGTTTAGTATATTCAAACATGAAGTTAGAGTTGACTTTTCTTATATTGATTCAATTTGTGACCAGTATGTTTTTACTCCTAAGATACAATGACAATTAAAAAGTCAGGCTCTTTATAGCAAGGGTTTTGGCTTGATGAAAAAAGCTTTAAATTTGGTGATCGAAACTGGATATGCTGAGGAATTATATAGGTTTCACCAGCAATTCATTGAAGAGATGAGAAACCAACTTGCTGAAAAAGGGTATATTATGTAATCAAATGAAGAGAATAATTTTTATAGAACAATCAGCAATCCTTTACAATCATAAACGAAAGGAAGAAAGTGTTACAAACGTATAATATTGTTCAATAATTCAACTAGTACTCAGAAGAAAGTTATTAAAAAGACAACTAATGTACAGCATAATCAAAGATCAAGTAGCTCCAATATGAGTAGTGAGTTAATTGATTTAGATAATATCAACAAACATCGAATGAATATAATGGATAAAAATTTTACCAAAGCAAATGATATACAAGCTCAAATAATTTATAAGCAAGGCCAAGAGCAAGAGTAATGTCAAGAGCAAAAGCAATGTCAAGAGCAAGTTCAATGCCAAGAGCAAGTGTAGTCCCAAGAGCAAGTACAGCACCAAGAGCAAATACAACATCATATGCAGGTACAAGCCAAAGAATATAATCAAGGTTTGTATATATATATTATTGGTCTTTTATTATTGATT